CAACAAGCTCAAGGAGAGAGAGAGAGAGAGAGAGAGAGAGAGAGAGAGAGAGAGAGAGAGAGAGAGAGAGAGAGAGAGAGAGCAGACAAGGGAGTTACGTACGGCACACTGGGCATGCAAGCTACAAGCTCAAGGGGAGAGAGAGAGAGAGAGAGAGAGAGAGAGAGAGAGAGAGAGAGAGAGAGAGAGAGAGAGAGAGAGAGAGAGAGAGGCTTTCGCTCTTGACTCTGCGGAAGGGAGAAAGGGTTTTCGTTCTCGTTGTCTACGAGTGTCTTCCAAGAGAGCATTGAAGAGTTGGCTTCACTCTCGCACCATTCTGATCTAACGGTAGCTGGCAATCAATAATTGCCAAGGGGTTAATGGACCGTTAGATTTTTTGAGTATGATTTGTGAATTCGTCCGTCCATCTAACGGATCGTACTTCCGAGGTCGATCGTTGATTGCCTCATCCGAGTGTAGAGATTTTTTGCCATTCAGTTAACATCTGGGGAGCCTGCGATAGTCTTCTTTCTTCTTCTTCTTCTTCTTGGTTCCCCCCTCCCCCCTCCCCCCCCCGCCCCCGCTCGTCTTTTTCTCTCTCCTAGGCAGCGTTTCCGGTCCCGTCTAGCGTGAGGCGACTGACATGTGAAAATCTGCAAATCGCGAGCTTTCACGGTATGCTACTTTTAATTGTACACATTTGATCGAAGGTGAATCGGTTTGCCAGCCCGCCAGCCAAGCCTGCCAACCTGCCAGCCTGCGACGTCCGTAAGTTAAAACGTTTGCCACGTGTGCAAATGAGAAGTTTGCCACGCGTGTCAGTTAAACGGTCGCGTTGTGTGTAAGCTACAGGTTTGCCACGTGTGCAAGTTAAAACGTTTGCCACGTGTCTGTCTGTGTTTACTCCCTGGACGGTCGTGATGCTGTCGCTCCTAGCTCGTTCCTAGTGTGAGAGAAAAGCAGTCCATGTGCAATGCATGGCTGTTTGCATGAGTCGGCGTGTGAGTGCGTCGACGTTCGGCATTTCCTGCAATCGCATCTTTTTTAACTACTGCCTTCTCGACACATGGGTGATACTTATACCCGCAGCCCCTAGGTGAACATCCATTCTCTCCGGACGCACATACATGGGCGCGCATGACAGTCGTGCGCTGCCGAAAATGTCTAACACTCTGTAGCTATATATATATATATATCGTCACAAACAGAACTGCCCGGTAAACCGTAGGCAGAGAGAGAGAAGAGGACAACAAACGAGGGGCTGTATATACATGTATATTACACATGCATGTGTGAAAGGTAAGTGTAGTAACTCACTCGCGGGACGTCTAGTATGTCATATTTTTTGCATTCCCTTTGTTAAATTCGCATGCTATACGACTTCGACGAGATTTGTCTTCTCTTTCTCTCTCTTCTTAACCGCACTCAAATTTCCTGCGGTTTGCGTATTTGAGAAAGATCCTTCCTAGAACAGTGAAATTGCGAGAATACTCAGAATAGCAGAATTCGATTAATTGTTTTTTTAAGATCATCACCCCTGTCTTGCCGATATTTTTTTATTTTTTTTTTGTCTTGCCGATTTGTTGCTTAGACGTGGCAGCTATTTTGTCTTGAGAAATTTGCCTTCTGCCTGTCCCTGCTCAGTCTATCGTGGTACAGAGCCTAGAAGGAGAAGGGTAGTGAGTGGCCGTCTCAAGATACAGCACCTTCATTGGACACCACGTGCACCACGTGTCGCCGGACGCGATGGACAGTAGGAGGTCTCAAGATATGCTGTGAGAGGTGAGGCCTCGCATGAAGAGTGTGTTCGTCGAACTGCGTTCAATGTGATGCATTGCCGCCGCTTTTATGTTTGTTTGTTTTTTCATGTTTTCCTGATTTTGGGACTTGCTTCGCCTGTTTTGCGCATCCTTTACCTCGACCGGAAATTGTGTCTAGCGTAGGTGACCAGAGTAACATTTCCGTCCTTTCTTTCTTTATTACTCTCGAGTCGTGGAAGACGTTGGATTTGTAAAGTTTCAATCAAAATCCGATATCGCGTTCAGGAGCATGGGGTTGGCCATTGCTTCTTCCTTCTTTTTCCTAGGCGATCATTAAAATTTCTGTCCTTTCTTTCTTCTTTCTTTATTAATCGAGCTTTTTTTTCTGTTCATGTACAGTCATAGCAAAATGGGATCCGCGTTGGCAGAACAAGTACAGAAATAGAAAGAGAAAGAACGAGACGAATGATTGATTAGTCGACATGACTTTGCTACCGTCTAACAGCTGATTGATCGGCGGACGGCCACGTGGATGACACTTTTTTTTTTTTTTTTTTTTTTTTTGCGTAGTTTGATGTCCTTGATGTCCTGTACCCGGCGGCCTCCTTGCTTTTGTCAATCATTAACTCTCTGTAGTCGAGTTTTATGGACACGAGTTCATTAGTTTCATGGACATAAATTTGCTCTTTTATGAACTACGCGGGTTTGGTGTCCATTATTGACACTGGCACCCTCATTACTAGTGGCGCTAGTGACACTGTTCTTTTTTTTTGTTGTTTTTTAGTCAAACTGTTCGTGTACAGGAGTTTGCTGTCGGTACCCGCAGTGACTGACAGTGCGCACGCTGTGTGGGAACAAGAGGAAAAGGAGAGAGAGAGGAGGAAAAGGAGGACGAGGGGGGCCCGATCTGCGCAAACGGGGTCCTAACGGTGCCAAACTGGGAAACGGGGGAAGCAGCGAAGCAGTACCGTAGCGCCATTGTACTTCGGAAATCCACACGATCGCGTTAAATTTAATTGGTTGAACCTTGTGGTAGGTGAGAGCTCAATAATATTCAGTAATCTGCTTAGACTAGTGAGAAGGACAAAAGGCAAAAAGTGGGGCTGCGATAAGTATTGAGAAAGATGAGTGGACAGTGAGAGAGGAGAGTGATACCGGTCGAGCTGGACTAGTGGCGTTCTGGAACCAAGGTGGGACCTTGAGTTCCACTGACAGGCCAATTCAGGACCTCTTGTTCCGAAGACGGACTCGTGTGTGTGTGTGTGTGTGTGCGCGCGCGCCACGTGTATTCGCCGATGAGAGAGAGAGAGAGAGAGAGAGAGAGAGAGAGAGAGAGAGAGAGAGAGAGAGAGAGAGAGAGAGAGAGAGAGAGAATCTTTCAACGGAGCTTAGACCATTGCGTCTTCCGGCTCGCCACGTGTATTCGCCGATGGTGTAGTTGAGGGCTGAGGAGCCGGCCGGACACGTGTTCCTGAACCCGGACTCGAGGATTTCAAAGCATTTACGTAGTTACTGTATTGGAGTGGATTGGGGGAAAGACTGTTTGCCCGCTGAAGGACGAGATCCGTTGCCAGGCACAGACGAGGCGGAGGTAAGAGGTTGATACGTGTCAGTCATCCAGAATAGAACGCTAGCTGAAGTGTAATCGAAGGCGCTAGTGTGAGACAAAGGACGCTACCATAGCTGAAGTGTCGCTGCTCTCTCTGAACAGTTTGGGACCTGCGGTGGAGTACAGATCGGTTCCGGACTTGCCACCAGGAACGACTAACAAACGCAAGAACGTGTTGGGCTAGATGCTGATCTGGAAATACGCCGTCATTAGTACGTGGTTTACAAAACCTGCTTCTCATAGTAACGGTAGTAAAGGTAGTAACGGTAGAATCGATTTGAATTATTATTTTCAGCTCTGAACCTGGACGAGAAGACGGGGACAAACACGAACGAGGGGACGTGCTGCCGGTAAGTAGATCGGTTTACGCCTTCATTAGTACCTGGTTTACAAAACCTGCTTCTCGTAGTAACGGTAGGATCGATTTGGATGATTATTTTCAGCTCTGAACCTGGACGAGAAGTCGGGAACAAATACGAACGAGGGAACGTGCTGCCGGTAAGTAGATCGGTTTTGCAATGAGGTAAGTAGATCGGTTTTGCAATGAGTTCATTCCAAATGCATTGGTCCCAGGAACAGAGTGTGGGCGCTAGACTAGACTGGTACGAAGAACGAATGCTTTCCTGACCAGGTGCATCTGTTGCTGGCAGAGTCTGGAACCAAACACTGGTTAGACAAGGGATACACTCGTTAAGATCATTCTGTTTCTTATTAGATTTACTATTTAAGTGTTTGTCTTCCCTCGGAAAGGGTGTTGATTAAGCTCATTCTTGCGATCATGATGGTCGTCTTGTGTCCCTTTCCATCAACAGAATCTGCGTCCCAGTCGCAGGCTCTTATGGATTGAGCCACTACGGGTGGTAATCCCATCGCTTCGCAGGATACTAACGCTTCACACAGGAATTTGACGATCCTGATGACCCCAGTTCCGACCAGGCCTCGTCGCGCTGCAAGTCCCGATCGCTAGCTGTCATACTGAGCTTAGGCCACCCGAGAGAGAGAGAGAGAGAGAGAGAGAGAGAGAGAGAGAGAGAGAGAGAGAGAGAGAGAGAGAGAGAGAGAGAGAGAGAGAGAGNGAGAGAGAGAGAGAGAGAGAGAGAGAGAGAGAGAGAGAGAGAGAGAGAGAGAGAGAGAGAGAGAGAGAGAGAGAGAGAGAGGTGACTGTGAGACAGGTATCGAGTGTATTGATTATAGTGTGTCGTCTTCACAATAGGCGCTCGGTCATTCTGTCTTGAGATCAATATCGCGGCGATGATTTTCCGTAGTGTCGCCGCGTGTTCTATTCTTATTCTTATTATCACCGTTATTGCTATTTCTAGCTTTTTAACGATAGCTGCTTGTCGACTTGCAGGGAGCCAAGTTAACCTTTTGCTCGGAACCTGCTTATGACCTCCTCGACCAATCCACCGCTAACTTAAGGTTTTGTGGCCACTTCACTCACAGTAATTGCTTGGATCGGAAGGAATTTCCTCTCTCTCTCTCTCTCTCTCTCTCTCTCTCTCTCTCTCTCTCTCTCTCTCTCTCTCTCTCTCTCTCTCTCTTTTCCTCTTTTCGGTGTTTCTGTCCGCCTGTGCCTTGCTACCCTTTGGATTACTTATCTCTCTCTTGCGCTCTTGCGCTCTTTTTCTCGTCGTTATAAAGAGTACCCGCAGGAAGTACTCTCTGTGTGTACTGCATTCTCTCTCGGCCCATTTTCGGTGTTTCTGTCTGCAACTGGAAGAGCGGCTTGCTGAGGGAGGAGAGAATGCAGCAAGCTCAGATGATTGCTGTGGAGTACAGGGGAAATGGGGGATGGGCCACAGGAAGTATGGAGAATGGAGGATGGAGCGCAGCAGCGATGGAGGATGCAGGGTGGAGTGGTTTCAGTCCCACATCGCGGGTTGCAGCTGTCTCTGAGAGATTGCAGCTAAGACGTGAAAGGACAAACGAACGGTTGACATCCCTCAAGACATTATGGGACAACGAGAAACGGACGGATGCTCGTCTCCGGGTGTGGAACTACGCATCACAACGGCCAGTCGTATGGAGTAAGTTGCAGTTTCCCCCACTTATCCTCCAAATTCACCCATTGGCAATTCTCTCCACTCAATTCCCCCAAAGGCACGTCTTGTCAAGTTTTCAAAAAGCATCCATTTAAAACTACTTACTGGACTGTTTCTTCTTCCCCCTTCCCTTTTATCCTTCACCCCCCCCTTTATGCTCCCATTTGGCCCCCCTTTTTGTCTCTCTCTCTCTCTCTCTCTCTCTCTCTCTCTCTCTCTCTCTCTCTCTCTCT